TGCCCATGGCAGGGAGGTTGGAACTCAATGATCTTCAAGGTCCCTTCCAACCTAAACCATTCTATGATTTGCATCCTTCTCTTTATCCTTTTCTTTTGACTAGTGATTTCATGAAACTCCACTTCCCCTAAAGCTGCTTGTACAAGGGCCTTTTCCATGCCAGGAAAAGACTCCATATTAACAACGAAGAAGTAAAGGCTGTGACTTGTGACACAGGTTGTTGGACCCAAGGTTGTTCAAACTAAGTGGTGCTGATGAGGCAGGAGCTGTGGGCACAGATGGTGACATTGCAATCATACAATCATAGAATAATTTAGGTTGGAAGTGAACTCTGGGGTTTATCCAGTACAACACCCTGCTTAAAACAGGTCTAGTTAGGTCAGGTTGCTCAGCACCAGGGCCATGTGAGTCTTGAACACTTCCAAGGCTGGAGATCCTACAGCCTCACTCAGCTCCTGTTCCAATGTTTTTCTACCCTATTAGTAAAAAAACATTTTTCCTTTATATAGAGTTGTAGAATCATAGAATGGTGTAGGTTGGAAATGACCTTGAAAATCATTTAGTTCTGACCTCCTGCCATGGGCAGGGACACCTCCCACTAGACCAGGTTGCTCAAAGCCCCACCCAGCCTGGCCTTGAACACCTCCAGGGATGGAGATGTAGTTGGAGATGTATCTAATGGGAACTTCCTATCTTCCAACTTATGTTCATCACCTCCCAACCTATTGCTGTGCACCAGCAAGAAAAGTCCGGCTCCACCTCATCTGTATGCTCTGATCTGGTATTCACAGACAGCAATAAGGCCCCCCAAGTGCCCCCCCTCCCCCCCCACACTTCCTCTTAAGGCTAAACAAGCCCACCTTGCTCAGCCTTTCATTGTACCTCACTTGCATTGGGGTACCCAAAGCTGGACACAATACTCCTGATTCAGTCCCATAAGTGCTGGAGTGAGGGGAAGGATCACTTCCCTCAGCTCGCTAATGCCTTGCTAATGCAGCCTGGCACGCTGATTGTTGCCTTTGCTGCCAGAGCACAACCTTGCCTCATGTTCACCTTGTAGTCCACAGGATCCTCAGATCCCCCAGCTCTTCTGCAAAGCTGTTTTCTGCACAGCCATCCCCCAGCCTGTAGTGTTGAATACGGTTGTTCCACATCAGGCGCAAGACTTTGCCCTTGTTTTTGTTGACCTTTGCGAGATGAGTGTCAGCCCATTTCTCCAGCCTGTTGAGGGTCCATTGAACACCCTTGTCTTCCAGTGTATTAATTGCTTCCACTATTCCCATCCTCCCCTGTCAATTGGGGTGTTGGCACACTTGCTGAGAGCACACTTTGTCCCACCATCAGTGTTAATGAAAACATTAAATAGTATTGGCCTGAACAGTCATCCCAGAGGGATGCTGCTAGTTACTGACTGCCAGCTGGACTGTGCACCAGTCCCACAACCGATGCAATGTGTGTATGCACCATTTAAGCAGCCTTAAAAGGCAGGTAATCACTGTAAATGGCCTGTGTTTGTCCTGGAGAAGAAAGTGAAAATTCAAGATGGACTTGGAAAGACTGGAAAAAAAGGCTAGTGGGTGAAATATTAAATGAATAATCCCATGCAGAACAGATGCACCAAAGCTGAAGAGCTGGTACTGCAGTGAAACTGTGGGAGCAGTGATGAAGAATTTTTGTTCATAGTGCTTGGCAGAGTGTGAGGTATCTTTACTCTGGCTCTTAAAGAAATCCCTCTGTTCAGTTCTATTGGGTTAGGGTTTGGGTTTGTTTGTTTGTTTGTTTCATTCAAACACTATTCTCTAGTGCCAACAGGAAATATAAGAAATAAAGGTAATAATCAAAACTGATGTCTGCTGATGAAATTTTTATCTTATACCTTATATTTAAGGTATAATCTTAATATATGACATAAATGAGGGTTCTAGATACTAGTTGCTGATAAAATCTAAACCAAATATTAAAGTATTATATTTAATGTTTTTGTAACTGGCTATTATTTTAAGATTAGGAAATACTTTTGGCTAAAACATATGCCTGCACCTGAAGTTTGAAAGCAATAGTTTTGATTCCCAACATTCTTCTGCTGGCTGAAAAATTGTCCCATCAGCCACTGAGAATGGTATTGCTGCCACTTAGCAATGGCTGGAGATCACAGATGGTTGTAACCAGCAACATCCAATGTGTATTCTTTGGATTCAAGGTGTAGAAGGTTGGGCTGCACTCCTGCCTGCATAAAAGCCCGTGCAGGAAATTTAGGTATATGTAGATAACTGAGTATGTTTCAGTTTTAGTATATTATTTATCATTTAGTTTAATTTCTCTCTTTGTACATTACTGAATAGCTTTCCATTATTTTGCTCTAAGGGCGTACCTTCAAAGTGCTAGTACCAATGAACTTTTAACAAATTTACATGATGTTTATTGAGATAAGAGGTTTCATCACAAAATGCAATTTGCGTGAGTGTTCTTAGATGTTAATAGTTAAAAGAGTTACACCTCTTTTCCTCCTAATACTTATTTGCTGTAGGGTGGTGAGCATAGTCATTAGGTAGTATATTTATTTATTCTACATGTGCTGTTACTATCTATAATGAGCTCACTTCCCCAACAGTAGTGTCAAAACAAAACTTAATGTACAAATAGATGGAATTCAATTATATTCTGGATATTTTCTTCTATATGGATTTTGAAATAACGCATGCCTCTGTTTACCCCTAATGTTTACAGGACAGACTATGAAGCAAACAAATAACCTGTTCTGCTGATATTTTCTGGCTGCCAAAGACAGGTTTATCATAGTTTTGAGGGATACTGTCATGATTTGTTGCCTTTCACTACCAATACAGTGATGTTCTGGCTTCACTCCCAGAAGCCAACAGATGACTTAGAGGATGTGCGAAAAGAGAAATGGGAGATAAGCCACAGCAAATAAGGAAGATAGCAGAATGTGTCAGAGGGTAAGATTTGGTTTAAGTTAGAACAAATCTTTGGAAGAAACGTCTTTGGAAATCTTATATGCTGTGTCACAGACTCCATCAAGTCCTGATTGTAGTATTTGTTGTGGTTTCCATCTAAGTTATATGCATAAGTTATATTCATCGATTCATGGTAAGCTTGTTTCAGCCTACTATGAAGTTTAATTAACAATGTTGACAAGTCATGCATATTTTCTAATGTTCATAAAAGTAATTGTTTGACACGGAGTGCAATGTTGTAATAACAAGGCAAAAATTTACTACAGCATTTTTCACTATACAACAAGTGCTAAAAGGGTGCATGGGATCAGTGACAAAAAGTGCCCAGAGTACGCACCACTTTCATGATTTTCCAGATGCTCTCTCTTACACTCTTCTAGCTCACCAAGTTCTGATAACAATAGAAGCAACCAGCAAAGGGGGTATATCTGATTTCAGTTCTCAAAACAAATGAAATAAATTACCTAAAAGGAGTCCTGTATTTGTGGTGGAAACAAGAGAGATTGACTTGTCCTGCTCCTCCTGCTTTATCGCTACCCTCATGACAGAGATGCTTGGTAGCCTTAAATAGGACATGACATGTTGTCATCTTTCCTTCCCTATCCCTTTCATGTCCTTCAGGGAATCTCAACACAAATGCCTTATTTCAAGGAAATAAATTTTTTCTGCCTTTGGCACTTCTCTTTGTCTTTCTTCTACTTGTTGTTTTTGTCACTTTTGCTCTTTTCATCGCTCGTTGGCAATGACATCAGTATGTCCCACTACTATTGAGAAGCTCCCCCAAATGTCTGAGAAAAAAGGAAAAAAAAAACCAAACGGAGAACAATCATTCCACTTGACACAATGTATTTTATCACCTATCATAGCTGAAATTACAAAAAAGCTGTTATAGAAGACAGAAGAATTTCTGTATGTTCCAGATATTCAGTATTTCTGTCTTGCACAGGACTATTAAGGACAGGATAAAAGAGCAAAGAGTAACCCAGAAGAGTGCAGCAATAAACAATATGTGACCTCATTGACAATCATGGAGTTGAAATAGCCAGCATAACCAAGACCATGACATATGGTGCTCTGTGCTCAGTGCTATCTTCCGTAATAACACTACCTACACTATGGAATTTCACCCCAGATACGTCAGTTTTTGCCAGCTATTAACAATGCCAACTCTCCTTTTCTTAGCAAGCTGTAAAATAAATGACAAAAGACCAGTTAAAAACATCTCCTCTTTTACAGAACACTTGAGCATCATAGACCCGAGCAAGAAAATACAGGTTACAAAATATTCAACTTCTCAAACTCCAAATCTGAGAGATGTCTTATGAGAGACATTTTCATTCAGATTACTTCAGCTCTTATAGAAACCAGAAACACAACTTTAATGCTTACTTATACAGGATCAAAACCTAAGGTATTTGTAAAGTCACAGAGATCCCCTTTTTTTTTTTTTGTATTTGTTTGTTATTCTGTGAGATTTAAATGTATACAAATAAAACAGGAGATTAAAAGCCAGAAGACACAGTTTCTCACTTTCTGGCTCAGAGGTTATCCTTGATCTAACCGACACAGCAGATTACACAGTGTTTAGGGGCATATGCCATCTTCAGTCACATATACAGTGGTGAACAGATGATTTTTTTCCCACTGTCTAAAAGCTTGCTTTCTTATGTGCCAGTTGACGTAAGGTTATCGTATGCTTTATAAAGGAAGTTTATTTCTCTATGTGCAGTCAAGATTTTGAGTCGAAGTTCTGAATTGCATCCACATCTTTTTGTCTTGCAAAGCAGGCATGAACAAAAGCAAAAGCCTTGAGCAGTCCCATCTAGAATCCGATTTGTCTGGTGGATCTGATGAACAACTTCTTGCTACTGGAGAAAAAAAAAAAAGTCCAAACCATTCTCTTGGCATTTCCACAGCATTCAACATTTCTGCCCAGGGCACCATTATCTGCGATATAATACCAAAGGTCCGAGTGAATCACGAAAATTACTTGAGCACTTCCTGGAAGAAGGCATTAACATAACACCATTTGGTAAAATGCACACAATGCCCTTCTTTTATCACTGTTTTTTTAAACAAATATTTCTTAATCTTTTTTGAATGTCAACATACAGGTATCAGCTAAACTGAAATACAGTTGAGATACAGCACTGCCTCCAAATGTCGGTGCACATTTCTGTTGCCAAGATGACTTAGCACAGGATAAAGACAAATCATAGGCAGAAAGAGTATCGACTGGCAGATTAAAAAAAATCAAAGTTTGCAATGACAATATAACCTACTTTATCACAGAGGATTCAGATGTGAATTGATCAGTCCAGGTCATATTTAGGAATACTTATGGTTATTTGTAAAAGCACCTCTAATATTGCTGTCCATCTTCTTTCCTTACCTAGAAGAATGCCTGTTGCAGTGGAAAATGACCTGGCATCAGTTATTGCTCACGCTGCCTCTTGGCTGGACTAGAGGAACCGATACAATTGGATGTAAATTCTCCAGCACACTGGAAAAACACTGCAGGCATCTCCTCAAAAATGCAGACTACACCTCTGGTTTAACGAGCACAGCAAACCCATTTTTTATGTTGACTCTGCAGAGAAATAAAATATCTAGTTCAAAAGGACCCTGGTCTAGAACCCCAAAATGCCTAACTGTCTATAGTGAAGACTGAGATCTGCAGTTATTGCCCTCTGATACACAGGAACTTTTCTTACTTCAAAACCAGATCTCTCCATTTAAAACCCCTACATCGCAGCAACAAAACAGGACACAGACTGCACACGTACCGTTCCCTGAAGAAAAGTGTAAGTAAAGCCATGAGCAATAGTCACACTCAGTGAACCACATAGAGAACATCTCAGATTTTGTGATGTCAAGTGCAATAAGGAACCTCTAAAGAGTATAGTAGTTATTAAATAGAAGATAGATAAGATGCTTTGCTAATACTATAGGGAAATACTGCCTGTGTCTATGCAAACTTTCCAGTAACTGTGGAGTCCAGAAGTAGCTGACATTCAAGATGCATTTTCAGATTACACCCTGGGTTTGCTGAGACCCATGGTTCAGTATCAGAGTCCCTGCAGATGTCTGCTGACTTTCCAGAGAAATGGTTAAGTACTTGCTTCCCTATTGCGCACAGGCTAGTTTGGACTGGTTGTAGACTGGCTTCTTCTCGTCTCTATGGTTCTACTTGATCCAAATTTGCCAATGACCTTTCAGCAAGAACTAACTCAGCACTTCACACTGTCTTCAAAGCAGAGTGTAGGGGGAACCATATTGCAAATCTGACATGTAAAACTGGAGAACGGTAAAAAATACAGTATCTTCTGCAAGCAGGTGAAATAACATCACATAACTGGAACAGTTTCAAGGATGGGGCAAAATTTAGTGTCAGTTCAAATGTGTGCTTGAGTCCGCCAATTCATAGGCCAAGGATCACCTGAGCCATGGCGTATATCTTATATCATCTTACGGAGTTTGTAAATGTGGTTTTCACTGTTACAACATGTATCTTTTTTAACTGGTTGCACACAAATGTAACAGTATTTAAAAATATATATGGAAGATGCACAGGTAGATTTAAAATCAATTTATTTAGTTGGATACTCTGCTCACTGTGTTTCTTTTCCTAATGTTCCCATATCTTGACCTGAAAAATTCAATGCTACCATAAATCCTTAAGATATTGCATGTTAAGATATCACATGTCTTTACAGAGGTGAGGGCAATATAACCATTTATAACCAGAAATTATACCATCTGCCTGTACAACCCACTACACCAATCAGGAAGGTGATTCAAATTGCTAGGTATGCAAAGGAGCATTGGGTACTGTTTTTTGGTAAAAATGTATAGATTCAGGATTCACAACATGCATTTCTAAGCAGGTATGGTCTAGGGCAATTTTAATGCTTATACTCTTCACTGCTTAAAAAGAAAAAAAAAAAAAAAGGAGGAGAAAGGCCAAATCCACTAAACAAATTTGCACACCCAATTCTTATAGCGTGTTCCAGACTGTACCAGATAATGCTAGTAGCTCAGACCCACGATTTCTGAACAAAAACTTTCTGTTCCTATCTTGTAACATTTTTTTTTGTGTGAACAGAGGGTTTTGGAACAGCAGAAATTACTAACGTCACTGCGTATTCCCAGAGCAGTTGAATTTCAGGTTTGTTTTAAAATTGAACGTTAGGTTTAAAACAAAGCATTTTTCTTCACTGGACAATGTCACTCGTAAAGTAGAAAAGAACTCACGTGGATAGAAATGCTGAAGTCGGTGTGAGAACTTGTGAGTAAATTTTGAAAATAGATATATTAAGCTTAACTCTTAATGACATGCATCGAGACATGAAAGTTTGCTATTTAAAACAAAATTTACTTTGGTTCTAGTTCTGCCGCTGCTTTTAAAATTAAAATTAAGGTAAGGTAGGAAGTAAGCTGAGGTAGATATAGATATTAGAAATGGACAGATTTTAAAAATATATATATTGGTGTGCAGGTACATATTGGTATCATATATAGTGATATGAAATATCACTTTAAAAATCCCCTTTGTTTTTTTTTTTTGGTTCTGTACACAAACATGTATGAAATAATAAGACTGGACCAAACAGCAAAGTATATCCTGTGCATTGGTCAAATGTAGACAGGAGAACTGAATTTTGCTGCTAAACAAGAATTTTCCGTAACAATGCTGGTCCTTTTGGAAATCATTTCATTGACTACAATTAGACTGGAGCTCTGTCTTAGTAATGCAAAATAATAAAACAAAAACCACCAACACTAAAAACAATTTACAATACACTTCAGAGTGCAATTTGAAAATACAACAACTCATGCTTGCTTAAAATCAGTTTATCAATATAAGATTATAGTGATCCAGCTGAAGTTAATGAAAAAAAAAACTACTATTGGTTTGAATGGACTATGCTTTTTCATTTACAATGACGTAAAATGTAATTAATGAACACTACTTCCACATCAACATCCCCTTGAAATCTCAACTATTATACACAAGTTCAGAGGTACATCATCTGGGATTGGCACACACAGTAAGATAAAGTGGAAATATGATAGAATACAGTTTCCTTAAGGTACACTAACAACTGCTTGGGACTCTCCCTCAGGATATTTAAAATTTTATCTGTAAGAAAACTTCAGTTTCAAGTATTTTTACTCAAGAAATATTACAGGTTAGTGGTAATGGCTTAAACGAGAGTTTTGTAG